CACTAGATCCAGCATTGACCATAGATATAAACACTAGATCCAGCATTGACCATAGATATAAACACTAGATCCAGCATTGACCATAGATATAAACACTAGATCCAGCATTGACCAAAGATACAATCACTAGATCCAGCATTGACCATAGATACAAACACTAGATCCAGCATTGACCATAGATACAATCACTAGATCCAGCATTGACCATAGATATAAACACTAGATCCAGCATTGACCATAGATATAAACACTAGATCCAGCATTGACCATAGATACAATCACTAGATCCAGCATTGATCGCTATTGCCTGTTGGCGCTGACGAGATGTAGAGCCGCCATGTTGGAACGGTCGTCCGCTCCGCTCAGTGTGACCTGTTTGACGGAGACATGAAGAATCTGTTGAATCAGTCAGAGCTGAATCTAAACTCATTCTCAGGATTTGTTCCTCTGTAAATCTCAGGAGTACAGACATTAAAGATGAACACATGGTTCAGTGTATTTAAATATTCTTGGTGGGGTTAACATTAACATTAATAAAATATTATTATGACGTGTTTGCAAAACTCAGTCACTGAAACATTTTTATTAATATCTATATATATAAATATATAAATATCTATATACACACACACATGTTATAGTTTCATTATCTTCTATATATATATATATATATATATATACACATATATCATCTGTATTATTTTTCCTGTAGTTTATCGTTGCCATGGTTTCCTGTTGTGTCTGGAGCAGGTCTCTTGTAAACGAGTCCTTGTGGCTCCATGAAGCCAACCTGTGTAAATAAAAGGTTGAATAAATCATTATGTGTATATTTATATTCATTCAACCTTTATTGATACAGGTTAGTTCCACTGAGCCACAAGGACTCATTTACAAGAGAGACCTGGATTTGAACAAAGAGTGATGACAACAGTGGACAACAAACTGTTTTTAATTGTAAAACAAACAAACAATAAATATTTGTCTGAATCATTAGTGAATGGGTTGTTGTTGTTGTTGTTGTTGTTGTTGTTGTTGTTGTTGTTGTTGTTGTTGTTGTTGTTGTTGTTGTTGTTGTTGT